GAAATATAAATCCAAGATGGCGGCTGCAATAGGTACCAATTTTTTTCATCATGGGTGTCATTGTCATGGTTTTCGAGGGTGCTGAAGCCGATAGTGCTGTCGAAATGTAAATCCAAGATGGCGGCTGCAATAGGTATAAATTTTTTCATCAAGGGTGTCATTCTCATGGTTTTCGAGGGTGTTGAAGCCAATAGTGCTGTCGAAATGTAAATCCAAGATGGCGGCTGCAAGAGGTATCAATTTTTTCATCATGGGTGTCATTTTCATGGTTTTCGAGGGTGTTGAAGCCGATAGTGCTGTCGAAATGTAAATCCAAGGTGGCGGCTGCAAGAGGTATCAATTTTTTTATCATGGGTGTCATTTTCATGGTTTTCGAGGGTGTTGAAGCCGATAGTGCTGTCGAAATGTAAATCCAAGGTGGCGGCTGCAATAGGTATAAATCTTTTCATCATGGGTGTCATTCTCATGGTTTTCGAGGGTGTTGAAGCCGATAGTGCTGTCGAAATGTAAATTCAAGATGGCGGCTGCAAAAGGTATCAATTTTTTCTTCATGGGTGTCATTTTCATGGTTTTCGAGGGTGTTGAAGCCGATAGTGCTGTCGAAATATAAATCCAAGATGGCGGCTGCAATAGGTACCAATTTTATTTCATCATGGGTGTCATTGTCATGGTTTTCGAGGGTGCTGAAGCCGATAGTGCTGTCGAAATGTAAATCCAAGGTGGCGGCTGCAATAGGTATAAATCTTTTCATCATGGGTGTCATTCTCATGGTTTTCGAGGGTGTTGAAGCCGATAGTGCTGTCGAAATGTAAATTCAAGATGGCGGCTGCAAAAGGTATCAATTTTTTCTTCATGGGTGTCATTTTCATGGTTTTCGAGGGTGTTGAAGCCGATAGGGTTGTCGAAATGTAAATCCAAGATGGCGGCTGCAATAGGTACCAATTTTTTTTCATCATGGGTGTCATTGTCATGGTTTTCGAGGGTGCTGAAGCTGATAGTGCTGTCGAAATGTAAATCCAAGATGGCGGCTGCAATAGGTATAAATTTTTTCATCAAGGGTGTCATTCTCATGGTTTTCGAGGGTGTTTAAGCCGATAGTGCTGTCGAAATGTAAGTTCAAGATGGCGGCTGCAAAAGGTATCAATTTTTTCATCATGGGTGGCATTTACATGGTTTTCGAGGGTGTTGAAGCCGATAGTGCTGTCGAAATATAAATCCAAGATGGCGGCTGCAATAGGTACCAATTTTTTTTCATCATGGGTGTCATTGTCATGGTTTTCGAGGGTGCTGAAGCCGATAGTGCTGTCGAAATGTAAATCCAAGATGGCGGCTGCAATAGGTATAAATTTTTTCATCAAGAGTGTCATTCTCATGGTTTTCGAGGGTGTTGAAGCCGATAGTGCTGTCGAAATGTAAGTTCAAGATGGCGGCTGCAAAAGGTATCAATTTTTTCATCATGGGTGTCATTTTCATGGTTTTCGAGGGTGTTGAAGCCGATAGGGTTGTCGAAATGTAAATCCAAGATGGCGGCTGCAATAGGTATCAATTTTTTCATCACGGGTGTCATTCTCATGATTTTCGCGAGGGTTGAAGCCGATAGTGCTGTCGAAATGTAAATCCAAGGTGGCTGCAATAAGTATCAATTTTTTCATCATGGGTGTCATTTTCATGGTTTTCGGGGGTATTGAAGCCGATAGTGCTGTCGAAATGTATTTAAACTACATTTAAAAATTTTGTATAATCATGTTATACGTATTTTTTGTAATGCGCTTAGGGCATGCCCAATTGGATTGACCAATATATTTTATTTATATATTTATTTTTATTTTACGTTTTAAAGTTGTACACATATGGCGTACTTAATGCCATAAGGCATTCTATCCCAGTCAACCATTAGGCTAAACAGAAAAGGGTGTATGTATGCATACATAATACTAATGAAAAGAAGAGCTGCATTAGTTCAAACTTGCAACGACTTTTCATATACTTACGGACTTGATTATTAAAAACGAACTTGCTGCTTGCTGTCTGATTACTCACGGTAATCAGACAGCAAGCAGCAAGATAAGTAGCCAGTACGGTGTAATGGAGTGAGCAATTTAAGATTAGCCGAAGAACAGTTATGAGAATCTCCTAGGTATTGAAATTTGGATTTCAAATACTCGGGAGCACATGGATCGTTCAGAATTGTGAAAAGGGTGAAGAGTATTCTAACATATTGGCGCTGACGGATAGGCAGCCAATTCAGCTGAGTACGAAAACAATATACATGGTCGTATTGTCGTCATATATATACATTTTCGAGCCATGCTACAGCTATATTGTGGTTGTAGTATAAATGGATCGGCTCGTCCGAGGAAGTATGTACTACGTTCTCACAGAATAACAGTGTAATTCTGCTTTGTAGCTGTGTACCACTTTTACTTGAAACGAGGCTTTGAGAACGAGAGGTAAATAGAAATCTTAGTCCTCAGGGGTGACAACGCATCTCTATTTTGATTCTTGACCGATGATGGATGTAGATGTTTATGGGCCACAGAATCCAATTACTACCAGTTGGGCTGTGTGATTGTTTGTCAACCTTATTCTATTTTATATAAAGGCTCCCAAACTTTAGATTCTCTGGGGCCCTTGTAGAATCTAAACCAGCCTTGTTTACCAACGTTGGATTTGCGGGATACTGATAAAAGAAGAGGTAATATGTGTGTGTGTGTGTGTGTGCTTGCGTGCGTATGTGTATGCGTGAATGCGTGCGTGCGTGCGTGTCATTTTACTTTCTCCGTCCACCTAGCTGTACTATTATTATTATTTTGTGATTTTTCTAATATCTGTGATATGGATCTCATTTGTTATGCGAAATGAAGATTTATTATTATTATTATTATTTATAGTCTATATCTCTATATATAAAAATGCTTTCTGTTAGTCTCGCTAAAATTCAATAACGGCTCGACCAATTTTGACAAAATTTTTGTATTTGTTTGAATGGTTCCCTAGATGATTTCGATTCATATTTGGACCCGGTAGGTGGCGCTTTTGTCACGATCCAGATATCACCCTGGCGAAGCCGGGCGGATTGATAGTTAATAATAAAATTATATTCTATTAGTACGTACTGTCTAGTATACATTATAATACAATAGTGTACACAGTGTGTAAACTATGGTTATATTATGTCTTCTGCGTAGTTGATGAGAGCAAATCATCATTATACAAATCACATCAATAATGGCTGGTGGTAATCATTCCTTGTGGAATCGATTATCACCAGGAATTTTTCCGGGCCGATATGACTTAGGGACCTTCAAGAAAAGAACCTACTCCTTTTTAAAAGGCCGGCAACGGATTTGCAATTCCCCTGGTGTTGCAGTTGTTCATGGGCGGCGGTAGTCACTTACCATCAGGAGGGCTGCATGCTCGTTTGCCTCCTCTCCCATAAAAAAAACATCGCCACAACCTCATCCGAGAAAATTCTTCTCTTACAACTAGCTACTGACTGAAATTCTTAGTACTAAGTAGAGAGGTACAACATTACTAAGTATACATGTGTGTGTGTGCGTAGCACACCTACAGTACTTCCCCCTTTATAAAAAAGAATATTAAAAAAAACTTAAAACTATATAAACACTTGTTAATGCGCTGAGGCGCAAGGCTGTACGGAAACTCCGCGAAGGCAGCGGTTTTGTCTTGAAAGTTACGGTAATCCGGCCCCTGTCTAATCCGGCACCCCCTGTAATCCGACATGGTCTATTATTTATTATTACATATTTTTTTGACAATCTTCGCAAATGCATGATGGAACAAGTTATAACTTGAATCATAATTTTTGATTATTTTAGTAAGTATGTGCATTTGTTTGTACACAATTATTTCCTAATGTAAAGTTATTGCATATTTTTTGTAAGTTCTATAGCATTAATGACGTTAATTTTATAATAAAATGCAAGATCCCTATTATGTCTTTTAATTTACTAAATGTGACATACATAATGAAGTATAATTTGTACTTCAGAGTACATAATAACATATAGAATCTTATTATTGGATCTGAAATTTGTCGGATTACAAGGTACTCTTTTATAAAAAATTCCGGACTACAGGGAGTCTTAGGCAGTACTCTATAATCCGACAAATTCGATAGTCCGACACTGCCCTGCAAAATGTTTGTCGGATTACCGGGGGTCCACTGTACTTTGTTTGAAGTTCACTAGGTGGTAGGACTTCTTTTCTGACAAGAAGTCCGTCTGGGTACATACCAGAATCTTTTCTATTTTCGCCGCCAAATGCCAGCCCTTACACTGTTGCGTTTCGGTATGAAGTGTATCGAGAGCCAGTATAATTACAGGTGATCCATTCTAGTACAGAGACATCCTCAGAGCTGATATGCATCTGTAGCCTTTTATGTTTGAAACTGGTTGCAGGCTTCCATTGGCTGTGGTAGTCATATACCATCAGGTGGTTGTTTTAGAAAATTGTTCCGGGCCTTGATTTCTTCTCTATATGCTCTATATAGGTACGGTAGTTTAAAAGTTGCCTTTAGGAAATCAGGTTACTGTAAACAGTAATAGCAAATAAAGTGACTTGCTTATATATACATTCCACATACTGACCTAATAACGAAAATATACCGACAATAGCATTGCACACAAAAGGTTTCATCGATGTTTGCGATCAGTCCTTACTTCCGTATCAACAATATAGGAAACGAATATAACATGACTATATTTTTCAAAGGAGTGAGGGAGAATAACATAGTTTCTAAATCGTTATGATAATTTTGTGAACTGACTTGCAATTTCTTTATTTTTGTACATGGAAAATTTATATTGAAATCAGTTTGCCATTAGATTGTGTGAAATGCGAACGTAAAAGCCTTATACTTGACTTTTTTTATATGGATTGCTATTAAGTACTGTATTGTATTCTCTTATAATATACATTACTTCTTCAAGAGTATGAACTGTCAAAAGACAACTGCTTGGGAATAAACAAACGCTAAAATGGCTGATTCAGATGAAACTATTCTTGCACCTCGATCAAGAGCACCAATTAATCAAACTGGAGTTAGGCTTTGGGAGCTGCAAGAAGAGACCCAAGACACAGAATTGAATATGTTTATACAAAAAGACAATACTGAAAACAAAGCAATAGAGATAAATGCAACAAAAACATATCAAGACAAATCAACAAGTACAGACACAAGAAGTGAAGAAATTGAATTATCATTTGCTAAAAACACTTTTAAGATTGATAATCAAAAAGATCCAAAATTTACAGTCCTTAAAAAATGGCGGGAACGCCAAGCAAAAGCTAAACACGAACGAGCACGAAGAGTTGTTATTAATTCACTAAAAGAAAAATTTAGGGGAATTCAACGCCAGGCAAATGTAGATGCTTTTGAGAATGGTAATAAAGATTACATTCATGAAAGTATTCCAGCGACTGTAATAACTGAGGATGTAGAAGACACGTCAAATTTGAATGGAAATTGCGACTATGGAGGGCAAGGGAATTTCGATCGTGAAACTGGTAGTATTAATGTTTATAATAGTACTATGGTAAACGAGGTAGTCTGTCACGCAAGGAAACTTCAGATGGGGCCAGGTGGTGAGCTGGCACAGTGGAGGCTTGCTCTTCGCGGTAGTAGGGCGGCGGGTTCGGAGGGTGGACTACGCGGGACTGTAAACGAAGTTATGCCGGTAAGTTTTCCATAACTTAATTTCTTTCCTATTTCATCTACGATTGTTTACTTAAAATAGGTGCATAAAAGCATATCCATTTACATTTGCGACTTTAAAACAGTCAAATACCTGTTATTGTATTAGACAAATAGTAATTTGAAGCGTTATTAATTTTAATCGTCATAAAATCAATTTATTATACCGTTACACGCATGTTATCGTTACTTTTAACGCATAAAATGCAAATCCAATTGACTAACAATATGATTATGATGCTAAATAATAATATTATTAGAGTATTAAAACACTGAAATGGCAGGCTTTGATCCTAGCAAGGATACTAAGTAATGACATAGCTGTTAGTTTTGCTGTTACAAATAAATAAATAAAAATGACAATGAAATTTTTGTAATCTCCATCCATCTTCAGAACATCGGCCTCCTCCATATATTGCCTCATTTTGCCATAGTGGCGATGTTTCGCAGGCGGGTTGGTAACCGCAGTCTTTTATAATTTTGATTTGTTATCAAGAAGATGCTGTTGCTCGTCTCTTTTTTCAGTTTCCCTTTTTCGCCTCTTACGACACCCAAGGGACGATATGGGGTAGTGAATATTACACCGCCACTACACGGTACACTTAATACGTTAGCAAAATTTCAGTACTGGATCAAAACTCAATTAAAAAAAAATCAATTACATTTATAGACACAAAACAATTATGTATATATATATATACATGCCGTAAGAGGCGACAGAGGAAACCAAACCAGGAGATCAGCGTCTTCCTAATATAAAGTTAAAGTTACAGCCTATTATACGTCCCACTGCTGGGCACAGGCCTCCTCTCATTTCTGAGAGGGATTTGGGGTAAGAAAATGTCCGCCAACTGCACATGTCTTCGAATATTTTTTTTTCTTATTTCTCTGACATGCAGGTTTCCTCACGGTGTTATCCTTCACCGCCGAGCACGTGGTAAATCAGCACTTAAAATTGCAATTAACAATTTCATCGGTGCCGGCGCGGAATGTATAAGTACTAATATAAGTACACTAACAAATAAAAAACTGCAGTTTTCAATCCGCCTGCCAAGCGAGGCTACTATAGCAAATATCCCCTTTATGAGGCAATCTATGGGGGAGGCCAATGTTCAGTGGTGGTCGTTGGATAGACTGTAACTGGAAATACGGTAGGAAATTAAAACAATCAAACCCCTTTTATTATTTAGACGTAGACTCACTATTGAATGAAAATAGTTAAGTATGTAAACAAATAAAAGTAACGAGTGTACGTAGATAATATAAAAATAAACAGCTTACAGAAAATATTATTATACTTGCGTCTTCCTCATTTCTCGGCTATGTACTAGGATCTTCATATTCCGTATCAGTCCCAATACAAAGTTCATTTAGTTGTTAATGTTTTCGTACGCAATGTTTATTACGACTTATTTAATAGTTATATAAATGGAGCGGACTACGAAAAAACAACAGAATCATGTTTAAAGCGGTTAGTGTATTTTGTTTTAGAGGCTTAAATTTACAGCAATAACTAAATGAAATATTTAATCAAAAATTAATTGACGTACGTGTCGAACACATAGGAACATCAGTTCCCTTCGATAGACGATTTAATTCCCCTCTCTTTCTAAAATCAGACAAATAGAAATGTTTCCATCGTGCATTTTACTATCCAAAATTGTATCACCTTGTATGATTAAATATCACAGACCTGTGAGTCTATAATTCTTCGATATATGTCTTAGCTACCGACTTCAGAAGCTAACTATTTGGAAATTATTTTATTCTTTCTAGTCCCGCGGTAGCCCTCCTAGGCTTAGCGCTCGGCGTAAATACGGGAGCAACCTTGGTTTGGTCCTTTTTTCCCATAGTAACATTATACAATATAAAATATGTTGCACAACTATTTACAAAACTCATTTAAGAAACACCTTGGAAGCGATGGATTATAATAAGCCATGTAATCATTTATATTTTTATATAGTCCTTTAAACAGTTGTTTATTAAGAAATATAATAGAGAGACCTTGTATATTTTCTGGGATTTTGTTCTCATAGCGTTTCATTCATTGCCCCATGAATAAATTACTAGCTCTGTGGAGTTACTCTTATCACTAGCTTGTTTGTTCATAATGTTTACACAGTGTAACTCACTTTTTTTACTAAGTTATTATATTTATTTAAAAAAAAATATGTTTTCGTAAATATAACAAAATTTATAAGAGATAAAATGTAAAACCGATTTATGCTACTGCGTATGGATCAGGTCATTGAATTAGTGATTATAATTATCTACTTACATGCTGATTTTGAAGTCTCTATATGTAATAATTATAGATTTAATCATAGAGTTAAAACCGCGTAGTGGTGGTGTAAGAACATCCATTACCCATCCCGTAGGTGTCATGTGCGGTGACGGAGGTAAACTAAAAAGGAGATGGGTAGCAGCATCTGCTTGATAAGAACTCAAAATAATAAAAAACTGCGGTTTGTCAACCCGCCTACCAAGCGTGGCAAATATGGCAAAATCCCAAAAATGAGGCAATCTATGTCCTATGTTCAACAGCGGATTTTTATAGGCTGTAATGAATAATTTAATTACGGAAATAGGCAACTTCAAAGCGAAAAGATCAATCCGCTTTATTCTCTTGCCAGTGGGAATTTCGAAAAAACTTCTTATTTGTCTAAATTATAAATGGAACCTCTGTGCAAAATTTAAGCTTTCTAGAACCAAGAGTTTGAGCTGGGCTTTGATGAACCAATAAGTGAGTGAGTGTATGAATCGGTCCTTGTCTTTTTATATATTAATGATTGATATACAGACGAATTGAGAATCTCCTATTTTGAAGTTGCCTAAAAAGTACATAGGCTGCACTAAAGGTATCGGGAATGGAATATTTCCACTGTTCCTGTCATATTAAAATCTTTTTAATTGAAAAGTCCTTGGTTTTTTAAAATTGAATACCATTTATTTATTTAAAAAAAGATTCTCGGTCTTGTCACAAGGTTTTGTCAAACTTGTTTAGTCGTTGAGAAAATGGAATTGACTCGAAAAAATTCAAGAGCGATCATTTATTATGACTTTCGAAGTGGTTTAACACAAAAACAGTGTGTTGACCGGATGATTTCTGCATTTGGTGATGAAGCCCCAGTCAAAACCACAATTTATCGCTCGTTTGCTGAATTTCAACGTGGACGTGACAAGCTCAGTGATGATCCCTGTCAAGGTCGTCCAAAAACTGCAGTCACCCAAGAAAACGTTGATGCTGTGCGTAAGCTGATTGATGAAGATCGACATGTGACATACCGTGAAATTCAGGCAACTTTAGACATTGGCATGAGTCAACCACAAATAATCTTGCATGAACAATTAGGTGTAAAAAAGTTGTTTTTCCCGATGGATACCGCATTCGCTCTGTGAAGAGCAAAAAGCGGCTCGCGTTACTTGGTGCGTCAGAACTCTCGAAAGATTCCACACAGGATCCTCAAATGCTGTATACAACATCGTATCAGGTGACGAATCCTGGATATACGCGTACGAACCCGAAACAAAAAACCAGTCACGAGTTTGGGTGTTCGAAAATGAGTTAAAGCCAACAAAAATTGTTCGTTCACGGAGTGTTGCAGAAAAAATGGTGGCCACGTTTGTCTCCATAACCGGCCATGTTACGACTATTCCTCTTGAGGGACAATGAACGGTTAATGCAGAATGGTATGCTAGCATTTGTTTGCCACAGGTCGTTTCTGAACTCCGTAAAGAGAACTGCAACCGCCGCATCATCCTCCATCACGACAATGCGAGTTCTCACAAGGCACACAGAACAAAAGAGTTTTTAGAGCAAGAAAACTTAAAATTATTAGACCATCCGCCGTACAGCCCCGACCTAAGCCCTAATGATTTCTATACTTTCCCTAAAATAAAGAATAAATTGCGTGGACAGAGATTTTCATCACCTGAAGAAGCTGTGGACGCCTACAAAACGGCCATTTTGGAGACCCCAACTTCCGAATGGAATGGTTGCTTCAATGATTGGTTCCATCGTATGGAAAAATGTGTTAAATTTCGCGGAGCATACTTCGAAAAGCAATAAATACATTTTTAAATAGTAATGTTGTGTCACTTCCTTGATTCCCGAAATTTTCATTGCCGCCCTCGTATCTATAATGTCAGGGCTTGTAAATCTATCATCAAATCTCCCCAGTCAAAGTACACGTGGTGACCTTTTCACACTTTTATACTTACATATTTTTTTTATAAATACAAAAAAGTAAATTTTATACACAGTACACACCTCTCCTGAGCACAGCCCTCCTTTCATATCTAAAAGGGTTCCAGGCTGGTACACTCTTAGATAGACCCTCAGGTCTGGAACTTCCAAGGCAAGGAAGTGTCCGACGTGCTGCACCAAAGCCTGGTGACGGACATCACATCATGTCCTCTAAATATTTTTAGTGGTTTGTTTTTATAAATTAAACATTTTTTTTTTTATAAACTCAATCAGAGTGTGAATGAATCAAAACCTCACGATACGCATTATCATCGGCCGTGAAACATGCCACGGGCTACGTGACGGAGGGTGCGTCAAGTTAACGCGAGTATTTTGACCCCAATTTAGAAATTATTCTTTTGCTCGTTATAATTATATTTGTTTGTTGATAATGTTAATTCTTTATTTGTTTGGTAAGAGGAAAAATAAAAGACATAATCATTTCATTCAAATGTTTAGTCACAATTGTTTAAACAAATAAAAACAATCAATAGTAGCCTGTAGCCTAATGATATTATAGAGATAATGCGAAACTAAAAAGTAGGATCGAATTCACGAATCGACAACTATCGTCTATCATTTCTAGTACAAACATTATCTACCTTGATATGGCCATCTAAATTCTTTAAACAAAAGTAAAAGAAATTTATTTACATAAGAATTAATTTATTGAAGTGCGTTAGTCTCGCAAATAGTCGAAAATGGTTCGACCGTTTTGATGAAAATTTTTATGT